CAGGACTCAGCCTCAAGTCACGATTTCAGTGCCGGCCAGCGGATCAACTCTTCCGTCGCCGATGCCGCTAAAGCCGCAGCGTCCGCCATGCTTTGACCCAAGTCAGCGGGGTGGTCCTACCGTTCAGGCGTGGCTCTTCACGTTGAAAGTTTTCTTCGACGCGAACTACGTCTCGGAGGATACGGCGAAGATTCGTTACGCCGTGTCGTTGCTGCGAGGACCCGCCATGGACTGGTGGCGCGTCATCGTCACGAAGCCGGTGGACTACGCGACTCTACCGACAAGGGAAGGACAAACCGGACCCTGGGCGCCGTCGTATTTCGTGGAGGTGCCCCAGTATCGCACGTGGGACGCGTGGTGCGCAGGTCTGCGCGCTCGTTTCGAGCCAATCGCGACTTCGATCGCGGCGCGACAGAAGCTCCGCACTTGGCGCCAACTCGGTTCCGTCCAAGATTACACGAGCGGATTTCTGGCGCTATGCGAGCAGGTGGGATATATGCACGAGAGCGAGCGCATCGACCGCTACATCGGCGGCCTGAAGCAGGACATCGCTCAGGAAATCCAGCTTCGCGGCGTCACCGACTTTCAAGAAATTCTCGCTATGGCGGAGAAACTCGATTTCTTCCGCCGACCGAGACCGGGGTCCTACGGGAGCAGCCATTGGGGACATCGGCCTCGTGGGACGAACGAGGGCGCCACGATACGTGCCGTCGCCGCAAATGCCGCTGCCGCACCGTTCAAAGGGCGCTGCTTTGCGTGCAATCGGCCGGGACATCGCAAGAGCGAATGCCCGGAAAACGCTAAGGGAAAGGGGGAAGCTGAGCAGCAGAAACAGACCAAGCAGCAGGGAAACGCTGGGAGTCAGTAGCAGACGGGCCCTCTACTGACAGGTCACACCGCTCGCCCGACCCAACCGACCCTCACCGAGTGATTGTGCCGGTTCACGCAATCGACCACACCCGGCCGAATAAGGAGGGTACTACAGTCGACAGCCCCATATTGCTTAGTGGGAAAATCGGGACGGACTTAGTAAAAATCTTCGTAGACGGGGGAGCCAGCCAGAGCCTCATCAACACTGCCACAGCACAGAAACTGCGACTGCCACTGGACAGATGTTTACCTGAGATCGACGCAAGACTGGTAGACGGCACGCCGCTGGCGATACGGGAACGCGTAGACCGGGTTCGGATTCGATGTGGGGGTAACTTCACGTTTAGCCAGGAAATGCTCGCAACGACCCTCGACGGAACCGATATTTTACTCGGGCGTGATTGGCTGCGACGACACAATCCGCGAATCGACTGGATGACGGGTGACTGCACCGTGCGAGTGAACGGTAACAACATCGCCTTACCTCGCTGGGGCTCATCTGAGTCTTCGTCGGTGCGTGTCAACGCGATCACGATGAAACGCGCCGTAGCGGCAGGAGCTGACGTGTACGCGGTCGACATTCGGGAAGCCGAGGCAGCAGACACAGGAGGGGATTTACAGAAACTGCTGGCCGACATACCGAGTGATCTGGCAGCACTGTTGAAACAGTACAGCGACATTTTCCCGGACGACTTACCGGCGGGACTGCCACCTCAGCGACCGCACGACCACAGGATAGAGTTAGAACCGGGGCACAGCCAACAGTACAGCGACAGTTCCGACTGACCCAGCCCGAACTGGACGAACTGAGGAAGCAGCTCGATTACCTGCTCGAGAAGGAATTCATTCGCCCTAGTTCGTCGCCCTTCGCAGCACCGATACTGTTCACACCGAAAAAAGACGGGGGATTTCGCATGTGCATAGATTACAGAGCACTGAACCGGGTTACCATCAAATCCCGTTACCCCATCCCGCGAGCCGACGAACTGATCGACCAACTGCGCACAGCCCGGGTTTTCTCGAAAATCGACCTCCGAGGGGGTTACCACCAGATTCGCGTCAATCCGCCCGACTGCCCTAAGACCGCATTTCGAACACGCTACGGATCCTTCGAATACACCGTCATGCCCTTCGTACTGACCAACGCCCCCGCCACGTTCCAAATGACCATGAACGAAGCTTTCCGCCCGCTCTTAGATAAGTGCGTCATAGTATACCTGGACGACATACTGATTTACAGCCCTGACAGAGCACAGCACTTACAGGACATTGAAGCAGTTTTTAAAATACTGAGTGAGAACCGCCTACTGACAAAAGTGTCTAAGTGTGAGTTTTTACAGGACCGCCTGGAATTTTTGGGACACGTTATTTCAGCTGCAGGAGTGGAAATAGACCGGAAGAAAATTGCGACGATTCAAGCATGGCACGCGCCGACCAACTTGACCGAGCTGCAGAGTTTTTTGGGGTTCGTCAACTACGTGCGCCGGTTCGTCCCCGACATGGCGAAGCTGACTGCCCCGCTGACAGACCTGCTCAGGAAGGGGGTTGAGTACACGTGGGGGGAGAAAGAGCAAGCTGCCTTCTCGGCCCTCAAAAACATTTTGTGCTCACCGCCCGTGCTTCACATCGCAGATCCACACCGTCCGTTCGAGCTTGTCACTGACGCAAGTGACATCGCTGTGGGAGCAGTACTGTTGCAGGATTTCGGGAACGGCCTCCAGACAATCGCGTACGAGTCCCGCAAGCTGCACCCGCCCGAACGCAATTACCCGATACACGACCGCGAAATGTTGGCGATCGTGCACGCGTTCAAGGTTTGGCGGTGTTACCTGACTGGCGCCGACGTGACAGTACGGACAGACCACCGATCACTACAGTACCTACGCGCCCAACCAAATCTCAACCCGCGACAGATTCGCTGGTTGGACTACCTCAAGTCCAACTTCCACTACACGGTTACGTACAAGAAAGGCGCCTCCAACATCGCCGACGCACTCACTTGCCCTACCGCCCAACTCCATGCCATCCTACTCGCCCAAACCAACCCGCTTTTAACAGGCCTATTCACCCACGGATACCACACAGACCCGTTTTTCACGACCGGAAATTCACAGCAACTGACAGAAGCTAAAGGAGTTTATTACGTAAAAACAGGCACCAACCGCATCTGGGTACCCGCGTACTCACTACTGAGGGAGCTGCTACTGCAGGAGGCACACCACGGAATTACCTCGGGACATTTTGGGGTAGAAAAAATGCGACAGCAACTGCAGCGGTATTACTATTGGCCGGAGCTGTTGACCGACGTGCAGCAGCACGTGGGCTCGTGCCCCACGTGTCAGGTGATGAAGAGCTCGAGGAAGCGGAAGGCGGGTCAATTGCAGCCGATACCACCGCCCGAGCGCGCCTGGCAGCAGGTTACCATGGACTTCGTCACAGGGTTACCTTCGAACCCTGGGGGTAACGACGCGGTGATGGTCGTCGTTGACAGTTTGACGAAGATGGCACACTTCGCTGCGTGAAAAAAGTCGATCTCAGCCGAGGAGACCGCTCGTCTGTTCATCGCAGCCGTTGTTCGCCTGCACGGGATACTGGCAGCGATTATCAGCGACAGGGACACAAAGTTCACCAGCAATTTCTGGAAGAACCTCTGGGAGCAGTTCGGGACCAGGCTACAGTTCAGTTCGTCGTACCACTCCGAAACCGACGGCCAAACGGAGCGGACGAATCAGACGATGGAGCAGTTGATTCGTGCCACGTTCGACGACCCCACGACTTGGGAACAGCAGCTGCCGCTGATCGAGTTCGCGTACAACAATGCCACGTCAGCAACGACGCAGCAGTCCCCTTTCTACCTGAACTACGGGAAAAACCCTACACTGCCCATGACGCCGAGTCCGGACAACCCAACACCACGAGCACAGCAATTCGCCGAAATTCTGCAAGCTGCCCGCACCAGAGCCGCAGAAGCAATTAAAAAAGCGAACGTCATCGCTAAGCGCAACGCTGACCGCCACCGCCGCCCAGTCACATACGAGTCAGGGGATTACGTACTGCTCGTCACGCAAAATCTGCGACTGTCCGACGTACCAAAACTTCGACCGCGCTACTGTGGCCCATTTCAAATCAGCCACATGATTACGCCAGTAACCGTGCACCTACTGTTACCGACCGACTGGTACATCAGCCCTTCGTTCCACGTCAGCTTGCTTCGCCCATACATCCCAACCACAAGCCAACTGCCTCGCCACCGCCCGCCATCCATGACTCGCCCTGCGTCGGAGCCGATCATCGAGCCCGAAAAAATCCTGAGCCATCGGATTCGACACCCCACGGGAATCAGGAGGATTGAATTCCTCGTTCGCTGGAAGGACCGCACGCCAACTGAAGATAGCTGGGTGCCCCTGGCCAACATTGAAAACCACCCTGCCCTGCAAGTGTACCTGAGGAGCCGGGGATTCCGCGATATACACGCACTCGCGTAGCGGAGGGGGCTTCTTGAGGGGGGGGGGGTAGTGTAAGGAATTTTCTCGGCATTCCTTACGGAGCCCGACTACATCGCGTACGGCAACAGCCGTTGTTCGCCCGTTACTACTAACGGGACTTCGCCAACTTCGCGCGCACTGTTTTGCCAAACCTCGCACTGCTGGCCCGGCCGTGTCGGCCCACGCTTCGGGACTAGCCCGAGCCTCGCTGCCAGCATAGCACTAGCTAGCTCGCACGCACCGCGTTACCGTTTGCATGTTTCGCATATAAATGTTCGCTCATGCCTTCGCTCACATTTTGTACTCGTTTGACACCTTAGTGCAATTCTCGCTACTTCGATTCATTGCACCCGTAACACATTAGAAAGCATTCCGGTTCAAGCCTGTAAAAGATCTCTCAACTATGTATAGCAAGAGAACGAAATGGCATAAGTCTCTACACAGGACCAATGAGACCACTACACAGGCAAGCAAGGCGGGGCACACTAAAAAATGGAAACAGCAATGTTCAATATTGGGTACTGTACCATGTACCACTATAATGTGCACCAAGCAAACCTGTCTGACCTAAGAAAAGACATGGGCCATGCATTGCAGTCCATGCATGGATGGATCCATGGATTCATACCAGTCCTTGCATATACTCTAAAATATCTTCTTAATTTGAGGCCCTAGGCGTCGAGGAGTGGGGAGAGCCATACCAGCGCCCGTGCCATCCTCAACCTCCATGTCATCCCCCTCCTCCGATGCCACACCGCCCTCCACCCCATAGTCATCACCACTCGGTGGCCAATCCTTCTCCTTGCGCGATACCCCTTGTCTCTTTGACCGCATCCCCCCATCCCCCGCTTGATCCCCATCGTCTCCCTTGAACCCTCTTCCAAATGCTGATCTGGGCGGCAGTCGTCGTCTTGGAGTGAGAGGGACACCAAAAGCATCCATCCCACTGCTCTCTGCCTTGTCCACTTCCCCCTCCCCACTCTCGCCCCAACCCTCTCCACCATCCCCCCGCCCTTTCGAGAGCGAGCTGAAACGAGGGGCAGGAGGGAGAGCCGCACCAGAATTTGTAGCACTGCTGCTGCTGCTATCAGCGCAAGGTGCGGAGGGCGGCAAAGCAGGTCTCGGGGGGAGCTTGGGGGCCTTGCCACGTGTGTCCACGGCACCTGCCTCGCTGCCTGTGCTCTGAAAGCCACGTACCGCCCTCCCTCTCCTCTGAGGCAGAGCTCCCAACACCGCTGCCTTCCCCTCGTCCTCCTTACCCTGCACCACACCTACCTCACTTCTTCCCCCTCTCTCCTCCTCCTCCCCTGCCTCATCTCCCTCGCCCTCCTCCCAAGCCGCCCTGAGCTTCGGCTTGCCACGTCTGGGGGATGGCAACCACACAGGCCCTACCCCAGCACCCATGTCAGCGTCCCCATGGCCAGCACCTTCATTGTAATCCCTTTGCAACCCTGGGTCATCGACCTCTGTGATGGCCTGTAGTTCATCCCCTGGCATCAGCCCCCCCTCTTCACCACCTGTGTCTGCCTCTGCCCCCGCCTGACCCGTCTCCCCCCATCCTTTGTCCTGCTGCGCCCTCATTCCGCCTTTGGTGCGGGGCGTCAGTGGGGGGAGGCCTCGCCTCACCCCTCCGCCACTGCTGCCTAACTCTGATACCTGAAGCCCTCCCGCTCTCAACCCACTGCCACCACCATTGCCAGCGCCATTACCTGTGGCGCCCTCGACTACTACCTTGGATCCGCCTGATTGGTCCTTGAGTCGGTGAGGGTCGCGCACAGCAGCAGCGGGCTTGGAGAACTTGCTCAGAGCAGCGCCATAGGCACCACTGCCAGAGGGGGGGAAGAAACCCAGGGAGCGCGGAGAGAAGGACGAGGGGGACGGCATGGACGTGTGTGCATGCAGTGGCAGCGGCGCAAACACTGGCTTGCGAGGCGCGGTCCCCTCCTCACCTCCCCTTGCCTCGCGTGCCTCGCCTGCCTTGCTGCCTGCGTCCACGTCCTCGTCATGCACGGTGAGTCGCGCCAGAGCAGAGCTTGTAGATGCCACTGCCGACCCAACGCCGCTGCCTGCTGCTGCTGCTGCTGCTGGGGTTTGCAGTGCGGGTGAGGGTTGAGCGCCACGCGGGGTGGCGTTGGGAGACTCCCAAGGGAGGGAGTAGGCGGGGTTGAGAGGCAGGGTGGCCTCCAGCCAGCCCCTGTGCTGATGCGGCAACACCTTTGTGGGCGGCGCCGACATCGCCCCTGCCCCTTGCGGCGTGCCTCCGTCCAGCCCCTTGTTGAAACACTCAAAGTCAAACGAATACTCCTCCCGCTCCTCCACCACCCACTCGCCCCGTCTACTCCCACCCTCACTCCCACCATCGCCCACGCCCCGCCCTGATGCGCCACCAGCACCTCTGCCCCCTGCCACGAGCACAGGCAGCATGGACGCGGGGTCGGAGTGCAAGGCGCCATGGCCGGGCAGGTGGTGCGCGTCCTGCCCCAGGTACGTGAGCCCCTCGCGCTCCAGCACGCTCAGACACACGCCCCACTCGCCACTGCCGCCGCGCACCAGCCGCTGCGAGCTGAGTGCGGCCTTGAAGCCGTGCGGCTCCTGGCCCTGATGGATGAGCGACGCTGCTGCTGGCAGCCGCTCGTACCGCACTATCTGCGCCGCTGCGTGCTGCGCCTGCTGCTGCATGGGCGGTCGGCACTCCGCGCCCTGCCACACGTACAGCGCTGCGCCCACCTGCGCATATGCACGGAGTTGCAGAGAGGGAGGGGGAAAGAGAGGGGGGGAAAGGGGGGGCATAGTGAGAGGCGTGCACGCAGTGAGGGCCACAGGGTGGCTGGCAGGCTTGGGAGAGGCAACCGTGGAGCGAGGGAGCAGGAAAACGGAAAAGGAGAACGGGACGCAGGGGGACGAGCAACGGAGGGTGCGCTGGGGAGTGGGTGAGAGGAGGGGTGGGGGAGTTAGGGGGGGTGCGCGCGGGCAGGACGGGAGCAGACCTGCACGATGAAGGCGCCGCGGGGGTCGAGCGCGGAGACAGACACGTCAGTGAGCATCTTGGGCACGAGGTGCAGCGGGTCGTACGGCGAGTGCGGTGCCATGCGGTACACGCGCACGTTCTCCATTTGCCGCTTCCCCTGCCCTCCCTGCCCCGCGCTCTCGCCATTGCACCTGCTGCTATCTGCGCTACCGCCAGCCCCAGTGCCATCAGCAGCGGCGACAGCGAGAGCGCGCGGGGAAGCAGCAGGGAGCAGCGGGGAGGATGGCGGGGGCGGCGAGAGCACGCGCTTCTGCCACTGCAGCAGCTGGCACGCGAAGCCCATGTTGGGACTCGCGACGCCGCGGATGTCCTTCACCACGCGGAACGCGTCCTCGAACTCCACTTGCTGGTGGGGGGAGGGGTGGAGATGCGGAGGGGGACGGGGCAAGGGACGATTAGACGTGCGGAGGCACGGTGGGAGAGCGGAAACGTGGCCGCGGGCGGACTAGTCAAAATACGAGGAATGCTAGAACACGGAGGAAATGCCTTTGCACAAGTAGTGAGCGGGCAGGTACAGGGGCGCGGAACAAAAGGAAGGAGGGCAGACGCGGCGCACGGACCTGCGCCCACATGAGGTAGGCGATGACGAGCGACGTGGAGCGCGAGACGCCCTGGCAGCAGTGCACGAACACGCGGCCGTTGACCTGCTTGACCTCGTTGACGAAGTCAAACACGTCGTACAGCACGCACTGGATGTCCTCCGACGTGTTGTCCTGCGCGCCGAGCACAGCCAAAGCCACGGAGAGGACAGGCGCCGGACATGTAGGTATGGGGAACAGATGGGCAAAAAGAGAGAAAGGCGCAAACGCTTGCAGCCAGAGCGGCGGTTACCTGCGGCGAGAGAGGCGGTTACCTGCAGCCAGAGCGTCTTGTAGGTGATGTCGTGCGGGAAGTACTCGGGGCACACGAAGCCGACGCAGTTGACCACGTGCGTGATGCCCGACTGCCGCAGAATGCCTCGGTCGCGCGCCACGGCATCGCTGCCCACGTACACGTGCGGCAACACGCAGCTGCACTGCTTCTCGAAGAATACAAACTTCTCCTTCCGATCGCGCACCTGCATCGCCTCCCCGCTCTCCTCCTCCTCCTCTTCCTCGCCCCCCCCGCCCTCCCCGCCGAACCTTCCCCCATCCCCCGTCACCGAGAACCCGTCCGGCCCAGCGGCCGCATCGCCTTGCGCGGAGAGGTGCTGCGCGGCGGACTGCTCGGGGAGCAGCACGCCCGCGGGCCCGGAAGGCAGCACGCGCAGGTCCAGCTTCATGCCCGCCAGGCGCATGCGCGCGCGGTTCATGCTCATGGACTGCGGCAGCGGGCGCTGCTGCAGCGCCGGACCCACCCCCGTGTGCTTCTTCGGCGCGCGCCCGCCACCCGACGCACCGCCGCCGCTGCTGCTGCTGCTGCGGAAGCTGCGGCCGCTGCCGGGCGTGGCATTGGATCGGGAACTGTCCAAACGCGAATCGTCGTCGTCCCACAGCGAAAGCGGCGGCGCTGCGCCGCCTCGCCGCACACTCAACAACCCGTCGTCGTCGCCTTCGTCGTCCTCCTCTTCCGTCATACTGGGCCCTCTCGATATAGTCATACTCCTGCTCGAGCCCAAATGCCGCATTGATCGCCCGCTGCCGGGCGAGCTGTCGGAAAGAGGCGGAGGGGAGTCGAAGGCTACCGCGCGCACGTCACTGTCGCCCGCATCGCCTTCTACCTCCTCCAACACCCGCAAACCCATCGCACCTGCGCCTTTCCCCCTGCGCCCACCTTCTTCGCCCGTAACCCCGTTCATGCCCGCGCGGTGACGGTCGGGGCGAGCGGCGTGTGCGGCATCGGAGTCAGGCAACGGAACATGCGCGGCGGGGGAAGCCACGGGCAATAGCGGCGGTCGTTCCGGCTGGGGGCCGTCGGGCGCGGCAACGGCAGCGAGCGACGGGACCACGTCCACGGCCACAACCGCGCGCGCCTTCCTCATGCGCGACGGCCGGCGGACAGGTCGCCGGGTGAGACGGCGGCGGGCGGTACGGACGGTGCTAACAGAGGCGGTAAAGGCGCACGCGTGCTTGGAAGGGACGATCTGGTAGGAGCTGCGCGCACGGATGCTGGCGATGTGACACTAACGGAGGCACTCGCATGACATCGTAACGAAAGAACGACTCGCCTAGGGGTTAGTTACTATAGATGAGCTTTGAGGGAAGAAGCAGGGATGGCGTAGGCGAAACAGAACAGGAACGAACAAATAACGGTCGCGCCTCTTGCACGATGTTTCCCCAGCATTCGTCAGGCCCCGCACACGCAATGTTTCAAGCCGAGAAGCTCCCTGACTTCTAACTCTCCTATGCTCATCGTTGTTTCCGTCGTTTAACGGTAGTGGCTGAGTAAGAGCAGGTCAATCATCTGGTGACACTGCTAGTTAGTTTGGAGGGTGGTCTAACGGCAAGCAAAATTCTGCCGTGTGACAGTGCGGTACAGATGGGTGACGAGCCAGTCTTGGGAATTACGCCCAGAAAACCTTGGCGGAAGCATCTTTGCCTTTGTTCCGACAATCTCCCCGCGCACGCTGGTTGAGGAGGAGCAGTTGGGTAGTACGTATTCCCGCGCGCCGTCGCCTGGGTCGCGCACGGCACGCCAGGCGGTGCACTCGGAGGAAAAAGAGTGCAAACGGTGAAGAACGACGTTCGCGACATCGTTCGGACACAGCACTGCTGTCGTTGCTGTCGCCACGACAAGATGAAGTGAAGGGCGTACAGCCCAAGTTTCCCACGAGCAGAGCAGATACGCCACAATTTGTAACGTACGAGGCTCGGGCGTGTTCCTTGAGGACGCGGTAAGAGTGCAAATATCGCAGGATCGTCTGCACATATCGATCCCCGCAATCGATTGGGCAGGTCGATTGGCGAAACGTGGCGATTGCGACGTTGTAACGAACGCCACTGAAATTTGATAGATCTCCCGCGATTTGTGATCAGTCGCATTCACACACTGTCCAAAAAATTGGGCCAAAAAGCGTACGTAGTATGGTTACAACGTAGTAAATAGGGTTACCAATTCGCACATCGATCGCGACTGACGATCGATCGTCTACTTTTACCGCGTCCTGAGCCATCACAACACACCCGTCTTCGAGTCACTCATACCAGTTACCAGCAACAAGGTGCTGGAGATATTGTATTTGTTGCATGGTTTAGGGCGCGACACCATTTTACCTTTTGTCAAAGTTCGTACCACCTACAGCGAACCATGCTACACGTGTTTCAAACTGTAGTCGGATGACGTTCTAACGAAAGCACGCACGGACGATGTGGTGACAATTTTTTCAAGGTTTTGAGTTTCGAATTTACTGTGCATCCGTAACATTATTTACGAGCTTTCGTAATTTTCTGTCAAAGGTTCTCGTGCAAATGTGTTTGCCGTGTCGCATCAATTAAATTTTTTCAAAGCGGCTCGATAATATCCATATCTTGCCATGTTCCCACGCCAACCACAAAACAGTACTGTTGAGTTGGTGTTACATATTGATCGTAATCAATGTACAATGAATAATACCATAGAGCTATCTAGAAACATGGTCGAGATGGCCAGCATTTTATAAGGAGCACGTGGAACATGCGTTATTTCCTTGTCCTAAAGGACAATCGTCAACAGACTGGGGAGACGCTCTATGCGGTAGCTGTCTACGGGGGTCGGAACCATGGCTGATTTTATCAGGGTAATTCCCCTGATTTCAGGGTGATTTCAGACTTGTCACCTTGTGGTACCTGCAATTTCAGAATTTGCTACTTGTGAACACCGATCCATTCATAATAATGCTTTAGCGGACCTTAAAATTTTGGATGCATGCCCAAAATAGTGTTTTTATGGACTTTGTCGTTACAGAGTACGAGTCTTGTGGACCCCGAATGAGACATTATCGAAACAAAGTTTGAAGGAAAATTCCAATGTGTACCTAGCATGTGTGAAACCCCGCATTATTGGGACCAAGTTTATCAGAAGTTTCTTTGCGGCACACTTACCGCAGAATCGTACAGTGCCATCGCGTGGGCAATCCCGAAGGTTCCAGGAAACCTTTTACGCCCCTGGTGCACAATCCCCTCCCGCTTTGTTGTATGGATTTTTTTTTCAAAATTTTTTTTTGATTCTCCCACCATCGATGTTCAATTTCAATAATGCACAGCGCGTTACTACTCTGATTCTAACTATTCAACCCTAAACAATGAGACTATATAACTTCCCAACACTAAGCAATCAGTGTGATGTTTTTCTGGAAAATATGCACCCATAATACAGGGGGAAATTTTTCCCCGGATTCAGGGAGGCCTAATTTGAAACGTCAGCCCTGGTCGGAACGGGTTTCCCAAGAGCCATGAGAATCGAAGGTCGGGGTAAATGGAGGGTGTACCGCTTTTGTCAAAGAGGAGGAAGCGGAGCTTCCGTGCTCGCTTGTGTCAGAAGAGTGGGCATAACAAGGAGCCATAGTTAGGGTTTACCTAGCTAGGCAAGAGAGAAATGAGCAAAGGAGGATGTTCACTAGCAAGCAGGAGGATACATATAGGAAACCCTAAGGGGTCGTACTCACTACAGAGTACCCCACAGCAGGCTAGACAAACTACATTCTGACACACCCCCATAGTCAAAGTGGGGTATAATCAGCACAGCAAGCAGTCAAGAGCATGTTCACAAGTGCAAGCAAAGCTAGAGGCATTCACAAAGGGCAAGTGAGGAGGAGGAGGCGGGACTGTAAGAGGAGAGAAGATAGGCGGCGACGGCTGAAGCTGCAGACACACGGGCAACAGGAGCGGCTGGCACAGTGGCTACCGGGACAGCGCCCCGGACTACTGGAGTAACTGGCTCGGCGGCTACGAGGAGCGGCAGGAGCAACGGACCCATGGGCGACAGGCGCAGCAGGCTCTCTGGGCTACCAGGACAGCGCCCCGGATTACAGGTGCTGCGGACGACAAGACGGCAGCCTCCGCTCAACCTCCCCCAACTGTCCCACCCCCCTTTCACACACCCCTTGCTGCACCCCTAGCTCCACTCCCACGTCACCCCCCTAGCACCACTCCTTCGGCTCCCACACACCCACCCCCCTCAGCGACAGCTGCAGCAGTGGGAGACGGAGGAGGAGGAGGAGCAGGGGACGGCGGACACACCCGGCACCCCCATAACCGCCACCCCCACACTCGCCACCCCCAAACCCTAAAACGGGTGGCACAGGGCAGGAGCACGGGGGACGGCGCAGGGGACGGCGCGCGCCCCCCAGGGCGCCACGACGGGGCAGCGGGGGGCCGCGCGCGGCTCCCCATCGCGCCGCGACGGGGCAGCAGGGGGTCGCGCGCGGCTCCCCAGGGCGGCGCGACGGGGCAGCAGGGGCCGCGCCCGGCTCCCCAGGGCGCCGTGACGGGATTGCAGGGGGCCGCGCGCGGCTCCCCAGGGCGCCACGACGGGGCAGCGGGGGGCCGCGAGCGGCTCCCTAGGGCGACGCGACGGGGCGACGGGGGGCCGCGCGTTGGTTTTCGGGGCGACGCGACGGGCTGTAGGGGGGGCGACGCGACCGTCGACGGGGGGGGACTCGCGGGTCCCCGGGGTGACGCGCGAAGAATGAAGCCGCCACGCGCCTCGGGGCGCACGGCAGGCAGAAAACCGCCATGCGCCCCGAGCGTGTGGCGGGAAGAAAAAAGCGTCGCGCGCCACGGGGCGCGCGATAGACAGGAAAGCAGCGGAAGCACGTGGGGCCCACAGGCCAAGAGCGTAACAGCTCTGATTCCATGTCAGAGGAGTAAGCATAACAAGGAGCCATAGCTAGGGTTTACCTAGCTAGGCAAGAGAGAAATGAGCAAAGGAGGATGTTCACTAGCAAGCAGGAGGATACATATAGGAAACCCTAAGGGGTCGTACTCACTACAGAGTACCCCACTGCAGGCTAGACAAACTACATTCTGACAGCTTGATGCTGGAAGATGTGTGTTGTCGCTTCTTGGTAGATTAGCGTCTGCTTCTGCATATATAAATCTTGAAGGCGATAAGAAATTAAGCTAAAATTACTGCAGTATCTCGAAGCTCGAGGAGGAGGAGCTGTGGTACCTGTGGGCAATTACATGTGCTTAGACCTCCAACTGTGGGCAGGCTTGAAAAGCGGTTAAGATGTTTAGTTCTTGAGGAGAGGGTTTTGAGCGAAACAATTACAAACAAGCTCAGTTGTAGGTCGAGTTTTATTAGAGATTCACGTGATGTACAACTCATTGTCAGAATGTTATTATCTAGCCTGTAGTGGGGTGCTCTATAGCGAGTACAACCCAGTTAGGGTTTGCTATATGTATCCCAACTGCTGCTAGTGAATCCCCCTCCTTTCTTCAATTCTGTTTCTGCCTGCTAACTTTGACATGGTTTTAGAGCAGGTCGACCCCCTTGGGTCGATCCTGTGGGTGGGCCCGCCACCTAACTGCTTCCGCTGCTGTTCTACTTCTCGCGCGCCTCGGGCGCACGACATCTTCTTCCTGCCGCGCGCGGCGAGGCGTGGGGCAGTTGGCGGAGGTTGAACGGAGGTCGCAATCGTGTCGCCAGCAGCACTAGTAGTCCAGAGGCTACAATCTCCGGTAGTCGCCAGTCGCCTGTGGGTCAGTTGCTCCAATCAGGAGGCTACAATCTCCGCAGAGCCAGTTACTCCTGTAGTCCGGGCCTTTGCTTCGGTAGCCACTGAGCCAGCAGCTTCTGTGTGTCTGCAGCTTCAGCAGTCGCCTCCCATCTTCTCGCCCCCACAGTCTCTCCTCCTCCTCACTTGCCCTCTGTGATAGCCTCTAGCTTTGCTTGTAATTGTGAACTACTGCTATGCCTGCTCATTGTACTTATTACACCCCACTTTGGCTATGGGGGTGTGTCAGAATGTTATTATCTAGCCTGTAGTGGGGTGCTCTATAGCGAGTACAACCCAGTTAGGGTTTGCTATATGTATCCCAACTGCTGCTAGTGAATCCCCCTCCTTTCTTCAATTCTGTTTTTGCCTGCTAACTTTGACACTCATACCTATCACAACGGGGCAGCACACATGCAGCAAGCATGGGACACTTTGACATGCGACATGAGCTTCATCTGCTTGAGGAAGGCAGCAATTTTCTCGTCCTTCAGGAAGGCAGCGGCACTCCAAGTGTCGTACGTCTCCTTGGCTGCGGGTTTGTGCGCGTTGCCGAGCACATGAGCGGTGCTATGCGGAGGCCATTGCTCTAGCGCACTGTCCAGCGTCGGGCCGCAAACGAGGTCACACAGCACGCAGGTCCAGGGCTCGACGCTCATATCCGTGCCGATGAGGAGAATGCCGGGGTCAGCACGGACGGAGGTGGGGGCGGCTCGGGCTCCAAGGGATCCACCTGAGTGGTTTAAGAGGGAGAGGGCGGGCAAGGGAGAGAGGGCAGAATAGCACAGAGGGTGGAGGTGGGGGGTGGAGGTGGGGGGTGGAGGTGGGGGCATAAGCAGTATTGTGGTAGGACTAGGGAAAGCTGACAGTGCTTTAAGGAGGGCAACGACAGGGCAAAAGCACATTGGAAGGCAAAGAGGGGGCAAAACCGAGGGGAATGGGTTGGGCTGTAAATTGTTACCGTACGACTTTTGCAGTTGAGCGACGGTGATTTGCGCTTTGTTGTTGAGGTGCCCCTTGCGCAGGCAGGGGAAAACCGCGTGATCCTCCACACGGTGGTTGCTAGCACATTTGGAGCACTCGTGGGTGGAGACGTTCACGAGGATGGCCGGAGACTTGCCACCAGTAGGAAGCAGGGCGGGAATAGAAAGGAAGTCCGGGTCGTCCGGCTGCGGGATGGGAATGCCGGTAAGGATGGGGAGAAAGACCCCGTCATAGGGGTCCTGCATGTGGTGGAAAAGGCTGATGCCAGCCAGCCAGCGGGGCACCAGATATGCGAAGATATCCGTATCTTCAAAGCGTGCCGGAACCCTGCGTAGGGAGAGGATGGGGGAGCCGCTCGCTTTGGCCTCAGTGAAGTCAGGGTGGGGGTCGATGTATGGCTTGGCACGGATGGAACGTCCAGGGGATTTTTCGAAGGGGTGCCTGAAAACGGCATGGAACACATTAGCGGATTGCAGGGTCGGCCAAAAATAGCAGATCGACGCGTAAGAACGCCCGGCAAAGCGAAGGGTCTCGCCGTTGGTGGCGCGAGCTTCCGAGATGAATCCGCAGTTGAAGAGGGATGGGGTCAGCTTGGTGAAGATCGCGGAGATCAGCGGGGCGCGGACGACATCAGCTCCTCGCTCTGGAAAGAGCAGCGTAACGACTCTGCGGCTGCTCATCGGGAGGATGGGGGGGAGCAGGTCCGGGGTGGGCTGGCGGTGGGAGCGGAGAGGCGGAGGCCCGGGGGTTCGGTCCACCGACGGGGAGTTCAGAACAGCATTCGCGGTAGGAGCATCAGGCACCGGGGGGCTTGGGGCGGGAGCCGGCGGGGCCGTGGTGGGGGGTGCAATGTCGCTTGGTGCAGAGTCCGAGGCGTTGGCGGAGGAGCTGCCCGTGTTGGTATTGAGCTCCACGGTCATGCCTGGCATATTCACGGGGCCTTCCGTGACATCCGAGGCGATGGCGACCGGTTCGTGCGGAGGGACACCGGAGTCGGTTGCGACACACAGTTTTATGGGGGCGGGTAACTCCGTGGGCGATCGAGAGAGGGGTAGGTTGGAGCCCGAGGGTCATCCGGTAGGTCCTCCCCTTCGAGCTGCCGGAGCATTTCGTCAGTGAGTTCCATGTCTTTGTCGAATTGCGGAACGTCTGCCATAGCGAGGGAAGAACAAGAAGAGACAGGGGAAATGGAAAACCAGGAAGAACTGAGTGCTGAGGGTCGGGAACTGGGGTTAAAAAAAGTCTCGTTGGAAGGCACTCAGCTGAGTACTAATGGCAAGGGGGAAGGAAGCAGCACGGGAGGGAAAAAGGCGGTGTATCGGTGAGCATTGGAGCCAGGGTCTACAGAGGTCGTGAAAGGGCGGAGAGGTAGCTGGCCGCTCAGTCCACGTGGATATCCTCGCGGGCAGAAGGCGGTGCCACAGGGTAGTTGAGGCGCGGGGAGTGCCGAGGTCAATGAAGGCTAGGAACAAGGGGAATAAAACGGATGCATAGGCATTTGCTACAACTTATCTGAAAGGGTGACCGGCAGCCTGATCGGCGTTTTGAGTCTATTCGCCATACCGGCTCGAAGGCACGGCATATGGGGGAGGTTGAGAGCCAAGCTCGAGGTAACATGAAGGGAAGGAACTTGTGAGGTAAAGAGTTGAAAGAGTGGGAAACAAGCCTCGAGGGCATGCAGAGAGAGTGTGAGCTGGAGCGGAGTTCTCTTGGAGGGCAGAGAGGCGAGACAGGGGAGCTACGCAAAGGGGAAGCGACGGGCGGGGAAGAGGGTGACGCGAGGAGCTCGACATACCTTGGGGACGTGAGTAGAGGCGGGGGAGGCCCAGTGGCGTAGAGGTGGCATGAGACTAGTGGAAGGAGGGGGGGGCGATTGCAGTTCTTGCATGAAAGGGACAGGTGAGGGGAGTTGGGTGGTAGAGCATCATATCTGCTCCAGCGAGGCTGCCAGCACACCTTCTTCCCACGCGACGTAATAACTGGCAAGGCGCAGTTTGGGGGAAGGAGAAACTTCAAGACTTTAAAAGAAAGCAAAAAAAGGTACATGTAGTGCCGTCGGCTGCGCCAGGGTTGTTGTTGGTACCTATTGAGCTTAAAAATATGCCACAAGTTGGGGGGGAAAAGAGTGAAATAGCGGGGTGGCGAGGAAAGGAGACACTTACCGTGGGTTCGTTGGGGACGAGGAAGCCGTTCGAAACTTCTGGCGGAAAGCATCGTGAAGCGTAATTGGGCAGGGATTGATAGTTTGGAGGTTGTATTTGTCTGTTCGGAAAAAGGCAGTGCTGTTCGGGGTTGGCAAGGGGTGGCCAAGCTGCTTGAGCGAGACGAGTGCAGTTGTCGCTGTAAGTTGAAGGGGTTGTGGGCGGCTTGTTTGGGGCGCCAATTGACTGCTCACCAACAGGAGATAGAAACCCAAACCAAACACAAAATGGGGACTAAGGCGGGAAAAACTTACCGTGAGTCGGGACGAGTCGAGTGAGGGGAACCTGCATAATCTGCAATTGGTTAGACACTTCCGTGGTTTAAGGCAATGTAAGTTAATCTTTGGGCAGTCCCGGCCATTACGGCCTCTATGATGTGGCTGCGAAATAGTCGCGGTATTCCCTTGGTTGTAGGCACGAAGGAACCCGAATGAGCAATGGATGTAGTTGCTGTACAAAACAGTACTATTGAGTAATGATGAGTCGTCCATTCGAAAAACAGACAACCGGAAAACTGAAGTTTCGACCTGACAAAAGTGATAACAATTCCATACTGTTGTGGCATGCATACGACATAGCATGCATGCTCACGAAAAGCCATGCGAACCTTGGCGAGTATGCATGCATGCATACCTATGGTTAGAATGGTCGATGGTTCCAACCATGGGGTGGCAAAATGGTACCGCGCCCTCAGTACTTCCTTCCATATCTACTATAAAGCTCTTGTTCAATTGTCCCTCACCTCAGACCCCTGACATTACATAGCAATTCTTCAAAACAGATTCAAAAAACAATATAGCCCAACTGTGTATACTCCAATCACAAAGTGATCGTGAATCTCACATGCAAAGACCCTGTATTTTCCTCCAGGTGCAAAATCCCAATAGGGGGTTCTGATTCACAATTTTGGGCATCATAAAGCCACACCAAATACCACAAACACACAGTACTTTTCCACTTTGATTAGGTTATGAAACACTCATCGTTCCTTCAAAAAAAATGTTGATTCTGTAAAAAATAAAAATTGGATCCTTTCATTCTCCCTCCATGCGCTAGAGGTTTGTTGTACGGTCACACTAGCAAAAAGAATTTTGAAAGTTGGTCAGAAAGTATTTATTAAACCTTACATGGTTTGGGTTCCACGTCGTTCCAGACAGACCCACATGAAAATTGATGCCATATTTTTCTATTATTTGGAGGATAATGGCACAAACAAGATAAAAAAAAATGCAAGCTTGCAGATTATATTAGAGGGAGAGAAAGAGTGAGAGAGAGAGAGAGAGAGGGAGAGAGAGAGAGAGAGAGAGAGAGAGAGAGAGAGAGAGAGAGAGAGAGAGAGAGAGAGAGAGAGAGAGAACCGGAACCGGGACCCCACAGCCCGCAAACCCCCAGGCTGGGCTGCGAGGGAGGCACAGAGGCGGAAGGAGAGGGACTACTACAGGCACACCGAACACGTGGTGTTCTGCGCCCTGGCCGTCGAGACATACGGGGCAAACGCGCCCCCCACGACAGCGTTCCTTAAGCTGCTGGCCACAGCAGCGGCTAGGAACAGGTTCAGGGCCAACCCCTTGGCCAAATCGGCCAAGAAGATGGCCTGCCACTTCAGCCAACGCTGGTCAGTGGCCCTCCAGCGCTCCCAAGCGAATGCCCTGCACACCAAGGCCAGGGCTGGGATCGAGGCAGCGCACCCCCAGATGGCAGCGGACCCCTGGCCACTGCACCTGGGGGACATCCTCCACACGCTGGAGGGCTAGAGGGTCACTCAGGGGGGGGGGGGGGGGAAGAGGGGTGAGCTAAGGGGCTTAAGGGAAGGAGGTTATCATGGATTGCACTGCATGTTTTTGTACCCCTGCTGAATCAATACAAAGGACCGTTTGAGAGAGAGAGAGAGAGAGAGAGAGAGAGAGAGAGAGAGAGAGAGAGAGAGAGAGAGAGAGAGAGAGAGAGAGAGAGAGGCACTAGGCCTAGTCCTTCGTCTCTCCCAGCTCTCTAGCCTAGTCTAGCCGTAGTATAGCATAGCTATAAGGCTTTATAAGCCTTGTGCCCTTAGTGTAGCCCCTGCAGTGAGCCTATAAGCAGTACTAGCTCCTATATTGCCCCCCTTGTTTCTTCATTCCACTTGGTGAGTGTGGATCCTCCCAGCCCCGCGGCTCGACAGGCATTAGGGGTGGCAAGGACACGTGGAGAAAGCAGCAGTTACACAGGGAGCAGTACAGGCATGCAAGCATAACGCTGAAAGGGCCACACTAACGTAAGTCCCCTGCAATGGGGAAGAAGAAGCCGGCGACAAAGGATGTAGTGAAGGAAACGCCTACATCCGCTCACCCGCCATCCCAGCCACCGGAGCACATACACGATTGCAGGGACGATCCCAAGCGTGGACTCCTCAGCAGCCGTGGCTACCATGCAGAAAGCCGCAGTGCCAGGTCCGTCGTCTAGCAAAGGGTCCTCAGGTTCCAGCGGCAAATGAAGAACATCCCACAGTGCACTCGACACTGCACGGCGGGGCCGCCCCTGTTGGTCCTCGCTCAGCTGCGGATCTCGGGCAACAACCTCCCGGGACTGGAGGGCAACATGCTGGAGGTCAAGCACGAAGGATAGCTCCGTCACGCAGCGGTCAACCTCCGACAACCGCACCCCACGGGCCTGGTAGGCCCCATCTCCAGGCTGGGGCTCCCCACAAGGAGGGCTCGGGGGAGGAGTGCTCCAGTTCCAGTTCTCCTCGCGAGGCAGATGAGGCCATGATACCCCCCTCCAATCCACGTCTGGGTCACGAGGAGTGCCCGGCACCTCGTCGTCGTTCCAGTAGTCGCGGGAGAGGCCAGGCACCGGCTGATGCTGCGGGACCAGGGGGAGTGCAGGGCGACGGGGGGCAGGGAAACGGCAACACCCGGCAGGTGAGCAGCAAAAAGGGAAAGACATCACACGACAAGCAAGGGGGGAACGGCGAGGGGGGCTACTCACAAATCCAAACCGGGCGGCAAAGAGACGAGACCCTGACACAAAGGGGTGCTGGCGACGAGGCAGGCACGACTGGGGAACGGGGGGAAGGAGCCCGCGAGGTGCAGGCGGAGCTGACGCAGTTACATCCAACCGAGGTGGGTATGAATACGCGAACGGAGCGACGGGAGTTGGCACCGACGAGGGCGCCGCAGGAGGCGGAGGAAGGGGGCAGGGGCGACGGGGAGCCCGACTCTGGGACTGATGGCGGGGCGGGGGCGGGGGCAACGGCAGGTGGCACAGGAGCAGGCTATAATGGCGGAGGCGCGGGGATAGAGGGCCACGTCTGCTGAGACGGCGCCAACCCCGGCGCCAACAGCAGCGGTCGCGAGGGAGGAATTGGAGGCGCAGAATGCGCTGGCGCCGCCGGCGGAGGATGTTGGGACGATGCGGACTCGGACGGGGGCGGAGGAAGCTGCAATGGCCGGGACTGCGCGGCAGGAATGGGAAGTTGCGGTCTAGGACGAGCCTGACCAGAGGGCGGCGGACGAGGAGGACGGCGGCGGCGGAAGGACAGGCCACGTGCACGGAGAAAATGATGGGTGCGCCCGCGGGGGGAGCGATACACCGGCTCCCTTGGCCGTGCTGGCATGCTCGGCGACGCAGAAGGGGCGGCGCCAACACCCGCAGCTAGGTAGTCTGCGACGGCTAGGAACAGGGCTGGCATTTGCCCGCCCGGGGCCCCTGGTGGGGTAGGCACAGCTGGAGACCTCGCCGCCAAGATCACATCACGCCGAGGCGGCTGGCGTCGACCTGTCATCGGGAGCGAGGGACGACGTGGGACGGCCCGACGAAACAACTGAACGGGCAGAAGCTGAAGCGGGAGACGCGGCGGCGGCGGAGGTGGAGGACCGAGTGACCGCGATCGATCGGCGTCGAGGGGGAACACCGCGGCAGAGGGTGCTGCGAGAATGCACGGCGGAGGAGCGGCGGGTAACCCGCCTGCAAGGGCGCGGGGAAGAGAGCCGGAGGCGCCGAGGGGACGTAGCGGACGAGGCGCGCGCGGAAGAGGAGGGCGAGGGGGCCTAGCGGCAGCGGTGGCCAAGGAAAAAGCTAGATCTGGGCCATGGCGGGAAAGGCACGGGATGCCAGAGAGAGTTCAGGAAAATCGGCCAATGGAGGATGGGGAAAACGATGGGGATGAGGATTATATGGAGGAGGAACAGGGTGACTCTGAGGATGCTTCTTTGGAGGAGAAACCAGGAATCCCAGCTAATAGGGCGGACTGAGGGGCGAGGAGGCGGGGACACGAGGCTGATGCCAACGAGGGCGAGTCACGTGGCAACCAAACCAACGAGGCTGCCAGCAAAGCAAGATCACCGGCAGATATTGCTGATGACTCAGACACGTGGTGACAGGTGGAAGGTTGGGAACTGGGGCCACTGCGCAGCAGTGCCCAACCCTTTCTACACCAGAAGTTACCTCCCAGGATCCAAGGATTTTATGCCTACTGCTTGACGATCCCCCTCCAACGCCTGGCGAAATTTCTAGGCTGCGTCCGGGCCTGGCGGATCCTCCAGTTCCTGCCTCGGCTGACCCTTCGGGCCAACATTGAGAATGTTCGCAGAAATCACTGGGCGTCCGTGGAAAAACGACTGCACAATTTCAGGAAGAGAAATGGGAGCTGCTTTTTGCGGAAGCCGGTACCATCCCACCCAAATCCTAGCCCACCAGACACCAACCGGACCCTGAAGGCATGTGCTCCAGAGCCGAGGGCCTGGTACGGAAGGCAAACCTAGCGAAGGCCCTGGCGGCGTTACAGGCTACCCCACTCGCAGAACAATCACCTGCGACACTCGCAACGCTTCGCGCTAAACATCCAGACTGTGTGGTAGGCACACCGGGTGCCGGATATAGCTCCTCGTCGCTGGCTATTGCTGCAGACAATTTCCGTGAAGTGTTAGCTAAGTGCCCGAACGGGATTGGAGCCGGGCCATCTGGTCCGTGCTTTGAACATCTGCGGGACCTTGCGCTGCTTAACGGGGAAGTTTTCATGCTCCTGCATCAAGTCATCAATACGTTGCTGAGCACCTACCTCAGCGAGCCGCTGCGAGACCTGCTACTCCCGTCCAGACTCAGAGCACTGGAAAAGCTAGGAGGAGGAGTTCGGCCGATAGCGATAGGAGAGTCGATCATGAGGATAGCCGCGAAGGCAGCGCTGCGGAAGCTCTCGGCCGACATCCGACGATTCTTTTTCCCAGTGCAATTTGGCGTAGCGGTACCACGTGGAGCAGAAACGATTATACATGCTACGCGGTCCCTCCTGTCCCAGCACCCCACACGGATCGCCATACAACTAGATGTCGAAAATGCATTCAATTCGGTAGAACGGGAAAGCTTCTTCTCATCATTCAAATGGACGACACTAGTGGAACTACTGTCGTTTGTTCGCACCCTGTACGGCTCCCCATCGCGGCTACTCTTGGACGTAGGGTTCGAGGAGAGACACATCGAAAGCGCAAGGGGCATTCGGCAAGGAGACCCTCAAGGACTGATGCTCTTCGTGGTGGCAATTCAGCCAGCGCTCCTGAAGGCGGCGGCGATGTACCCTATGACAGTGGTGATGGCATACGCTGACGACATCACTATCGTAGGGGACCCGCCAGAGGCGATTCGGGGAGTGAAGGTTATAACCAAGGAGCTGTGAAAATGCGGAATACGGTGCAACTTGGAAAAATCCTCAGCATGGTGCCCAGCTGGGTGCTCGGACGAACTTCCGGAGGAGCTTGTCGCGGCAACCGATGGCATCCGCGTACTGGGGAGCCAGGTGGGGACTAGAGACTATGGGAGGAGGCTCTTACGGTCAGGCCTGAGCGCGGTGACGGCACCACTAAACCTAATCGGTAAACTGCACCCACAGCACGCACTCCTCCTGCTCTCGCGTTGCGTATCAAGGCGGGTATTGTATATGATGAGAACTACCCCGACTGACACGCCAACGCTGGAGGAATGGAGGGATTGGAGCGAGGAGCTGCTGTGGACGGCGTTGAAGGCGGCACGGATGTACGCACCGGCAAGTGAAATGGAGCAGAGCCTGGTCTGGCGCCAAGCAACGCTACCGGTGTGCCTCAGGGCTTGGGGTTGATAGACCCGCTTTCAGAGGCACCAGCAGCATAGCTGGCTTCCCTACACATGGCGAACACCCTCCTTAGACACACGGCGATGGCAGCAGACAACCCCCTACAGTAGGTGACGGACCTATGTCACTGACGTGACGGTCACGGACCCTGTCCTGCAGCGACGTGACAAGAGGGCAGTAAAGCCACCGGGGTGGGCGGCAGAGGACGCTGCAAGAGTGAAACGGGGCCTGTATGAGGGCCGCCCGGGTTTTGTAGGGGTGTTCGGTTTGGCGGTGGAAACCTACGGGGCACTGGCTAAGGATACACAATGGTTCCTCCTCCTCCTAGGCACCCAGGCGGCAAAGAAGAAACACAGGCAAGGTAGACTGACTGCTGTGGCCTCTCGAATCACGGCACATTACCGACAGCAGTGGTCGGTAATGCTCCAGCGTTGCCAAGCAAATGCCCTGATGGCCAAGTCCAGCAAGGCACTTGAGGCAGCGCACCCACAAGCAGAGCTGACCCGTGGGACCCAAGCCTCGGGGACCTATGGCAGGTCCTCGAGGATGACCTGGCCCAGGTACTCTACTTGGGGGAGTAGCGGGCTGGGTCAACCCCTAGGGGCCCGCCCATGCTCAGGAAGCTCTCCTCCGCTGGGCAGGACATGAGGGGAATGAGGTCCCGTGCAGGTGGTTGAGCAGGCCCGCACGGATGTGGCCGTAAGGACGAGTGTGGCAACTATGCAGTTTAGTATGGCATGTCGGTCGAACACATGCCATGTTTGCGGATGCGTTCATTGTAACTCCCGTTGCCTAGGCCAACATGCTTTCTAGGACTGCCAATGCATTATCTGTACCTTATATACACATTAATGAAGGGCTGCTAGAGAGAGAGAGAGAGAGAGAGAGAGAGAGAGAGAGAGAGAGAGAGAGAGAGAGAGAGAGAGAGGGGGGGGGGGAGAGAGAGAGAGAAAGAGAGAGAGAGAGAGAGAGAGAGAGAGAGAGAGAGAGAGAGAGAGAGAGAGAGAGAGAGAGAGAGAGTCTCCCTTGTACGCCTTGCATGATAGATTGCTTATTTGCACTAGCATTGTCTAGGTCACATTCCTGCCACGCCTGTACGACTATTAACATATCAATGCAGGACTGCTTGAGAGAGAGCCTTTCTTAAACTCATATCCTACAATGCGAAAAAATCGTCGTATTCTTCCTTCCCTCCCCCCCCTCTCCAACCTCCCTTCCCCCCCTCCCCCCTCCACCTCCACCGTTTCCCCTCTTTCCCCAACCCTTTGTCAATATACACTTATACTTTTGTCATCTCAACTTTGTAGGCTAGGTTGGGTTTTACTAAAGAGGGAATGGGGTGTTTAGATATGCCCCCTTGTGTATGTCCTCATGCCTCATTGATTCAGTTTTTAAAATAGTATTACGAGTAGGTCCCTCGCTTCCGCCCCATCTACCTCCTTAGCTGCCCTCCCCCTCCCCGTCCCCCCCGTCTCCCACTATAGTGCCCCCCCCCTCTAGCGGCCCCACTCTAAGGACACGGTAAAAGTAGACAATCGATCGTCAGCCGCGATCGGTGTGCGGATTGGTTACCCGGTTTACTAACGTGCAACCATGCTATAGTAATATTTTTGCCAAAATTTTGTGCACAGGAAGGAAATGCGACTGATCACTGATCGGTCCAGACTTGTCCGAGGCATCACATAGTTGCTGATGTCCACGAACCGAGCGCAACAGGCACGATTGATCCGGATGCCTGCGAAGTCTTGGGATTTCGCAGAGTGGGTGCATGGAGGCGCGCAATCGCCAAGTTGGTTGCCCTGTGGACTACGAAAGTCACTGGTGTTGTTGGACGAAGGGGGTTTTTCTGTGCTGGTGTTGCGCACAAGTCCCAAAAAAATGCTTCCGAAATATTCAACCCAAAACCCAGGGGCGATAATTACAATGGCATCGACGCATCGTTTCGCCAATCGATCCCCACAGTCGATTGTCCGGTTTAATATTTAAGCACTATCCTGCGATATCTGCACTTTTATCGCATCCTAACGACCCCTTTCACGGCCCCGTCTCGTCCCCGCTGCACCCCCACCCCATCACTGCCTCATCATCGTAGCCCTCCCGCCGTTGCAGGGCCGTCGCCGCCCCGTCGTGGCCCTGCAGCTACCCTGTCGTGGCCCCGTTGCACCTCCCCCCTCCCCTCTCCCCCCCTCCCGCCGCGCCTCCCGTCCGCACCTGCCGCCGCGACTACCACACTCTTGCTGCCGGGCCTACCGCACGCCTGTTGCTGCGCCTCCTAGCCGCGCCTACTATCTGCGTGCAATTTGACTTCGACACATGGCTGCTCGACGTCAAGCTCCAGCTACAAAATCAGTGCCAGTACAACGTTTCCCTATACACCCACATACCAGGTTAGCTGTCTGGCCCCAGGGTCCTACTTCTCTTACTACCAAGCCCACGCTGGAGGAGCGGGAGGCTCACCGCATGGCCCGATTTGCGTACTCGCGTGACGCAACTGCGTGCCTTTCACCTAGTCGCCGGCCGAGCAAGTGCACTTTCGCCAGGCCGAGATGGCAATTGCGCGTCTTGATGCTATTGTTGCTCGCAACTCT